TGTGTGAAAGGCTGATCGCCTCCATGCCACGCCGCCTGGATGCAGTAATTAGTGCAAAAGGAGGCCCAACAAAGTACTGAGGACATAATACAGTACATTAACACACTTTTCAGAAGGCCAACATGTGTTTAAGATCCTTTTTTTTATTGGTCACATGAAATATTCTAATTTTGTGGAATACTGGATTTGGGTTTTTTTTTTGTCTTTAATCCATAATCATCAAAATTGAAACAAATAAAGGCTTGAAATATTTCACTTTGTGTGTAGTGAACTAATATAACATATAAGTTTCACTTTTTGAAACAAATTATTGAAATAAATAAATTGACTTTTCCTTGATATTCTAATTTTTTGGCACATACCTGTATGTTAATGCTAACATATAGTTAGAATCTATAGTATTTTTCCCTTTTCTGAAACCACTTTGATAGTCCTGTAATATTCCTTTTATTTATAAATAGTACACTAACCTTTCATTGATCATTTTAGCCATAACATTTCCTACACATGATGTTAAAGCTATCAGTCTACAGCTCTCTGCCAAACTGGGGTCTTTCCCTGGCTTACAAATAGGTACAATTATCGATTCCTTCCATTGTTCAGGCAAAACTTCCCGTTTCCATAATTTATTAAATAAGCTCAGTAACACTTCCTTACTCCTATCAAAGGTTTTTAGCATACAGTAACTTATCTGATCTTCCCTGGAGTAGTCTTGCCTGATCTCCTTTAAGCTTTATTCAGATCTGTAATTGAAAATAACATATTCATTGTATTTTCATAGTCCCCATCATCTTGCAGTGCATCTATGTTCCTTGCTTTTGTTCTTTCCCTCCCTTCCATTTTTTTCCTTCTTTAAATTTTCCACACTATAAAAATCTGCCTTGCTCCCATCATCTACTATCACTCTCTCACCATCTTTCATTACAGGACATTCAACCACTTTTTGTTATGGTTGAGTCCCCCTCACCAGGGGGTGAGGGAGAACAAAAAAGAGGACTCAGACCCAGGTGCTAGTGAAAAAGGTGGTTTAATGGAGAACACAAACAAAGTAACTGAGTCAATGTAGAGTACATAATCAGGGTAGGGCAGTGATGGCCGAGAAGACCAGGACGAGCAGGTGAGTAGACAGAATAATGGCAGGAACCAGGTGACAGGTGACAGGTGACTGATGACGTCTGACGCAGAAACGGCTGGCCTGAGTGACTCCCGTGACCAGTTCAGACCATCAATATGGTGTCACGACGTGAGATCTCCCTGCACGTGTCAGCAGGTGCATAGCCATAGGGGTACTATAAAGCCAGCCAAGATGGTGCGCAACATGTGGGTTTGTTGGCGTAGTAGGTGTGTGCGTAGTATGATCAATGCTGCTGGTGTGTGATCACCATAGAGCCAGCTAGGAATAAAAATGATTGATTCTCCATTGTATTTAGTCACACCCTGTCCTAGTTACATGCGCACATATTACCATCCTAGCACATCCTCTGTTTCCCCAAGCATGCCTTCTCCCGCCTACTACACTACATACGTTCATAGAATCGACCGACTGACCAATCAATCTTTACAAACGTTTTCACATCATTCACACAAAGCCTAGTTACACCCATCACATAATTCAGACATTGTTCTGCTGCATACTATTTCGCCACCAGATGGCACTAAACCGAACCTTTGAATGAATGAACCAATACTCGATACAAATGATGAAGTGGTTCGATACAGGTATCATGTCAATTGGACATCACTACAGAGTAGCGAATGCTGTCAGGGAAGCAGAGTAGCAAACGTACCAAAATCCAATGCACAGGAACTGTCAGCGTCGAAGCCAGTTACGTATAGCTTCACACATGTAAACAACGTACAAAAAGAAATCAACAGCACAGGGACTGTCAGTGTTGAAATCCAGTAACATAAGTGTATACGCATTTACATTCATTTATATATAAGTAATGCTCCAGTGAGGACGGAGCATCTGCCAGAGGTTTAAATAAGGAAGGGTGGTAGTCAAAGGAATGCGCCTCAGCTGTGTGCTTAAACCAATGAGTCACTGATCCCACAGGATGAGAGAGAGAAAGGAGGAAGAGAGGCAGGTCGCGCCGAGTGGACCTGACACTTTCTTATTACCTGACATTCTTTTAATCATGTCCCATGCTTGTTCTATCAGGGTGCTTCTGCCTAACGTATCACAATATGTCCTCCAATATTCTCTTTTAGCTTTCTTTATGATATTCCTCACTATTGCCCATTTTGTAAAGTGTGCTACCAGAGGAGCTAACACACTGGACAAGGTTTATTCAAATATTAAGCTAGGCTATAGGGCCAGACCACTACCACACCTGGGCCAGTCTGACCACTTGTCCCTCTTCCTAATTCCTGCATATGTCCCCATCAGGAAAACTGCACCTACCATCACAAGGACTGTAAAAGCTTGGCCTAATGGTGCCTCTCAGCAGCTACAGGACTGTTTTGATAGGACCATCTGGGACATTTTTGAACATCCAGA